AAGGGGGGGGGGGGGGGGTGAGGTGATGAGAGAGGGGGTTGTTCACCTGGAGTATTTTGTATAATGGTTGTGGTATATACAGGAGAGATGGTTGGTTGATTGGTGGGATTTACAGGAGAGGTGGTTGGTTGATTGGTAGGATTTACAGCAGAGGTGGTTGGTTGATTGGTGGGATTTACAGGATAGGTGGTTGGTTGATTGGTGGGATTTATATACTGTGGTTAATTGGGGGGGGGGGTAGGTGTATTATTATATAGACATATAATAATCATCATAATATAAACATAGATATAGACAGAAACATTGACAGAAAACACAAGTCATAATATAGACAGAAACATAGGCAAGATACACGCCATAATATAGACAAAAACATAGACAAGATACACGCCATAATATAGACAGAAACATAGACAAGATACACGCCATAATATAGATAGAAACATAGACAAGATACACCCCATAATATAGATAGAAACATAGACAAGATACACGCCATAATATAGACAGAAACATAGACAAGATACACGCCATAATATAGACAGAAACATAGACAAGATACACCCCATAATATAGATAGAAACATAGACAAGATACACCCCATAATATAGATAGAAACATAGACAAGATACACCCCATAATATAGATAGAAACATAGACACAAGATACAGTTATAATATAGACAGAAACACAGACCTACAAGAAAATAGACACACGACACACAGAGACACACATTCAGACCCAAGACACACATAGACACAAGGTAAACGATAAAAATTTAACGTGGGCCATTATAAACAAAGAACCTTCAGATAAAGACGTGTCTATTAATAGCAGGCTGAACTTACAGACCTCGCGTTGTAATATTTTCAAAATTAGCATCGACACATTTCTACAGCTAATTTCCACGGCTAATAGATATAACTCACAGCCATAGCTAATTTTTGTATACCTCAATGTTTACATTACTGAAGTTGGGAATGTGGGTGGTTGGGGGAGTGGGGAGGGGAGGGGGGGTGGGGTTGAAGGATGTAGGTGAGGGATAGATGAGCAGGCTGTACCTTAACTCAGGCGGCTGGCGTGAGTCAGAGCTGCTCACGGGATCAAAGATTTAAACACACGGCTCTTTAGACACGCCGGTTAAAGGCCGTCTCCTTCTATTAGCACAGCCAGCCGGTCAAACCGGTTAAACGCCGGTTCTTTCTATTAGCACAACCAGACACGCCTGCTCTTTCTATTAGCACATCCAGACACGCCGGTTAAATGCCGGTTCTTTCTATTAGCACAGCCAGACACGCCGGTTAAATGCCGGTTCTTTCTATTAGCACATCCAGACAGACCGGTTAAATGCCGGTTCTTTCTATTAGCACAGCCAGCCACTGCAAGTTTGTTCCCGTACAAATTGCTGTCGGCTTGTTTTAGATTTACTAATAATAAATAACTATCAAGGCAATGACCCATGTAAATTATGGTGCAAGCTCTACATATATTTACATTGTTATTATCATTGAGACTCACTGATGCAGATATGTGCATTCGATACTCTATGTAAAAAGGGTTTATCTATGCTTCGTGATAAAATAAATCCTTTTTCCCTGAATGCCCATTAATTCAATATTCTGTATGCGCTAATACAGTAATTCTTTATGTCCCAATACCCAGATCCTCATTAATTATGTATACTCCTAATGCCAAGGTATACTGTAATACTGTATGCCTTGCAGTGCTAAGCGGTGCAGTTCATCGTATTACCATCACATTGTATTACCATCACATTGTATTACCATCGCATTGTATTACCATCACACTGTATTACCATCACGTTGTATTACCATCACATTCAGGACAGCGGGAGTTTTGAAAAAAATCACCAACAGTTGACGACATAATTAAAAAAAAGCACCTAAATTAGGATGGCTAATAATTTTAAGGGAGATTAATTTAAGACAGCCATTACTTTAGGTCAGTTAACAATTTAGAACAGCTACTAGCAAGGACTGGGAACGAAGTGGTCTAGCGGTAGAGAGCTACACTGCTAACCCGAGAGTCTCGAGTTCGAACCCGGGTTTAAGACAGTAGACCGTCTCTGAGTCCACCCAGCTCTGATAAGTGCCTAACTCACGCTATGAGGAAATAAAGACGGCTGGGCAAAGTGCTGACCACACTATCATATGCCGAGGACACTGAAACAGGTGAACTCACTTGCTCCATAGACCGTCAGGTTTGGAAAGGGAACTTTACTTACTACCAAGGACAGCACACACTGTGGGAATGACAACTCTTTTCAAACGAAATTCTACTCGCCCTAAGCAATGGAGTTAGGATCGAACACTCCAGCCCGTGGGACGTCTCTTGGTAAACCCACACAGACACGTCATGGGGTACGACAAGGTGGCTGGACAAAAATATTTGACCTCACTAGACTATCGTTTTATCTGTCGAAGTCACCGAAAAGATTGGCTTTACTTTATTAACATACCCGTTGAAAAATGAATAAGGAAACACGTTAAAACATTTTTTTTAAAAATCATAAAAAACGTTTTAATAACAAGCTTTTATGTAATAATGGACTAAAAAGTAGAAAATAAATTATAGACTACTATTTAAATAACTATAAAGAAAAGAGTGGGTCTCTTCCTAAATATTAGACACTACTATTTAAATTACTATAAAGAAAAGCGCGGGTCCCTTTAGTATCTATTGGATACCTTTACTAATATTAAGGAAGACACCCACGCTTTACTTTGTGTCTAATATTTAGGAAGAGACCCACGCTTTTCTATATAAAAAAAAGAGAGTTGACCATGGGTTGTCTTTCCATAACATTTGCTGACACTACATACAATTCCAATCATTTTTTGCCTAAATTTTAAAACTTTCCATAAAATTTGATGGCACAACATACAATTCCACGATTTATTTTTCCAAATATTAAAAATTATACCTAATTACTAATATTCTTCACGCCGCCAGAAAGTTAAGCCACATAAAGACAACTCTACTTACCGGATATTCACAGCTCCGCTTAGCCGAAAACAAATCCTCCACAAAACACCGTTGTTTATACCCGTCGTGTTATTTATAGTCCGAACTTTTTCCCATGCTCTCTAATTTTTTTTACCTCGCCCAGACCTCCCCCCCCCCCCCTCCTCCTCACCTGAATACTCACTCACACGGCCTGAAGGAAACCGGAAGGGACGACCTGGTTCGACTAAAAACCGACCCTGGACAAAACTGGAGTTATTTCGTTACGGACACATTTCGTACTGGAAGTTTTCGTGTGCTGTCGTGACTAGCCCAGTAGGTTTTTTGTTTTAATTAAGTTTTACCTTGCGACACACGTGACAATTTAATGAGTCCATTATGTGATTGTTTGTATATCTACATATAAGCTGTGTTTATTTAAAATATGTGTAGCGACTTAGTAATAACACTTTTCAAATATTTAACATAGATTAGATCAATATAGACTCTCTATATAATATATATAATTTAGAAATGTAGTTTGTTATAGTTGTAGGAGTCGAATTTCAGATTTATGTTCTTAGCTGCGAAAAATTATTATTTTTTAAATTATTTTAAAAATTTAAAAACTAAATCAATGTTTATGTTTGTGCAATACGATCATTTTACTTAAATATAACTGGTATACCTTTAAAAAATATCTTTAAGTAATTATGATTTATTTCCCTCGCATTTTTCGTTTCATTTCCTGGAAGGGCAAAGTTCCATAACTCTCGTGAAATGAGTCGGATATTTATCATAACAGTTCTAGCTCTAAAATAAATATAGGTTCAAAGAATTTGCAGCTGCAAATACTTGAATATATTTTAATGCTAATATAAATTGAGTGAATTACTGAATATGAAGCTATTTTGTACAATTCTTAGAGAACGCTACAAAAATTAAAACGAAAACTCAAGTATGAGAAATCGTAACCAAATTAGCCTGACATTAGCTGGTTAGCATTACACTTGTACACGTTAGCTCTCCACTACATTCAAGGTATGTCGGCCTACACTCCCTTGGTTCTAAAGGCTTGGTTAAATAAAAAAAAAAGAATAAAAAGTATACAGTTATTACATTATTTTCAAATACAGGTGCAAAAGTAGTTATCTTTATTAAAAACATTCATACTTTGTGATAAGAGTAGTTTCCCTTGATTGTTAAACTGGAAATATTAGATTAACGTACTTAATTGTCTGCTTTCACTTCAAAGGGTTTAATCCTATAATTAATTTAGTAACTTTTTTGTGTGCAAATATCCTTTGTAGCAACTAGTGTTTCAACATAGAAGGTAGCAATTTGTATATTTCACAAGAAACAATTCAGAATGAAGAAATTAATTGTGGCTACATTAGAAACAGCAAGCGGGAAATCCTGGTATAAAACAGCCGTTAAACTCACTGAGAAGCAATGATAATCGAATATAAATTGTACACTAAGATATAATTAGGTATTTAATTTTTTTTTTCATTAATGAAGTTAAATTATTAATTACACCTAAAGCTAAACATGGCCCTTGAAGCAGAATGTTATTATTTCCTTCCACACACACAAATTGTTTTTCTGAAAAGGTTGAATTTAATTATTTAATGCAAATTTATATCACCGAAAATTGTATCATTTCTTTTTTCATCAGCAAGGGTTAAAATTAATTATTTATTCAAAATAAATATTATTTTTTTTCACCAGCAAAGGTTAAAATTAGTTATTTATTAAAAATAAATATTACGAAAAATTTAAATTACTTCCCCAGGTAAGTTAATTCACTCTAATCGGGTAGCGGTTTAAGGGTTACAGTGTCAGCACGCCGTTAAAGGGTTAATGCCTCAGCTATCAGCATAGAATAAATAATTGTTTATCTCTAATCTCGCGGCATAAACGCGCTAACGCCTGAGCTAAACGAACTAAAAACCTGAGTTAAATCTGCTAAACATGAGCTAAACCCGCTGAACTCCGACCATAAATGCCATCGCCGATGACGTAGGCTCTTGTCTGTCAATGTCATGTGAATGTGAGCCAAATTTAAAAAAAAAATCTGTTAAGGTGTGTCTCGGAACATTGCACGTGTTGTCTCATTCTGGTATTTAGTATTTACCCCAACCCGCCTGTACTTCGCCCTACAGAAGAACTGTTCCTAAGAAGAGAAAAAAACAACTTAAGACAATAAAAAAATACATAAGAAAGAACAAACAAGGGAGGTAATATCGAGGACCTCAACCAAGGGAAATAATCTCGTGTCTAGCAGACGTGTATGGGGAGTCTAGTCATGGACGACGCTGACCTTATTGCTAAGATTGGGAGAAAAAGGTGAGTAGTTTTGTGTGCCTGGTGTGTCGTTTGAGCCGGGTGACCTAGTGAAAATGTTGCCTGTTACGATTGTTTACCTGAAGATTAGGGCGCACGATCTCATGCATGTCTGTAAGATTTGTTGAATCTAATTTTAATATAGGAAATTTTTGAAGATGTACGTCATTTAGCCTTTCTATTGTCGGTGGCCATAATCGAAGCTTGGTGTCCATAGACAGTGGCCGTCCATTCTATAAAGTAGCCATCCGGCTTTAAGTAGCCATTTGGCTACACATTGTTGTAATAGCAATATGGCCATGCCTTACCATTGGTCACACCGCCTCCTGTAAGTAGTCATTTGGCCATCCATGGTAATAATAGCATTATGGCCATCCCAGAATGCCTTACCATTGGCCATGCCGCTATGTATAGTTGGCCTTTCTAATGTAGGTAATCAATTAGCCACCCGCAGTAAGTAGTCATATGGCCATCCTATTATGTCTATCTATTTGACCACTCCACTGACATTAGCCACTTGGTTACTCCACACTGATGAACCGGTTGACTATGAGTAGACATGATGCTTTTGGTTGTCCGTGATTTATAGTTGTCGTGATCCATGATTGTCGTGATCCATGATTGTCGTGATCCATAGTTGTCGTGATCCATGGTTGTCGTGATCCATGGTTGTAGTGATCCATGGTTGTCGTGGTCCATGGTTGTCGTGATCCATGGTTGTCGTGATCCATGGTTGTCGTGATCCATGGTTGTCGTGATCCATGGTTGTCGTGATCCATGGTTGTCGTGATCCATGGTTGTCGTGATCCATGGTTGTCGTGATCCATGGTTGTCGTGATCCATGGTTGTCGTGATCCATGGTTGTCGTGATCCATGGTTGTCGTGATCCATGGTTGTCGTGATCCATGGTTGTCGTGATCCATGGTTGTCGTGATCCTTGGATGTCCGTGATCCATTACGTTTCAAGTATTTGTCTACCCTCCTTGTACTAAGTAGACCACACTGGATTCAACTAAATAAAAGACAGGGGGGGGGGGGAGAAATAAATAAATAAATAAATAAATAAATATATACATATTATATATATATATATATATATATATATATATATATATATATATATATATATATATATATATATATATATATATATATATATATATATATATATATAGTGTATGTGTGTATCGTTCTATATAAAAAGGGTTTTTCTACCTACTCAATATATGTCCACTTAATCATACACAAGAGAAAAGTAGCCTTGAACGTCTTTTTCTTTTCACGTCTATAGCAAGAAGCTGATATCATGATATCTTACACACAAAGGTCAGAGGTTGCCTACAGATACAACAAACTGAAACACACACCTTTATACTTTACATCTAGAACATGAAAATAAAGCTGATATTATATATTTTACGCAAAGGTCAGAGGTCGCCATACTGAAACACACAGTCCCCGACCCCTCCCCTGAGAGATTCACGAAAGAAACACTTAGTGTAAGATTGGCTGGCGTTAAGTCTATTGTTCTGACTGTTCGTTTTTTGTCATTGTGAATTCTAGACAATACGTAAACATCTACACCACAGCTTATAGTAACAACAGACTCGAGGGTCATTTCCCTTGTAAGTCAACATTAATTGTAACATATATACTCTTACAATATTTTTTCCATTGAGACTTTGAACATAAGTTAACATCCTGGTCAATATTTTAAACAAAATTGATCACCCATCTAACGAACTTTAACGTGAAGTGAGAAAAAAAAATTCTAATTAATTATTTTTAACTTTAATTAGATTTTCTGATAAGAAATAAGATATTCTAATTATATGATTCTAGATATTCGACTAAAGTAACTAATATATATATATATATATATATATATATATATATATATATATATATATATATATATATATATATATGGTTCCATGACAAATGATCTCAGGACAAATGATCTCAGACAAAATATCTCAGACAAAATATCTCAGGACAAATGATCTCAAGGACAAATGATCTCACGGACAAAAGATACCAGGACAAAATATATCAGGACAAATGATATCATGGACAAATGATCTCAGACAAAATATCTCAGACAAAATATCTCACAGCAAAATTTTAATAGTGTCCTGAGATCATTTGTCCTGTCACCATATATATATATATATATATATATATATATATATATATATATATATATATATATATACATATATATATATATATATGAGTGTATATATGTAGGCCTATAGATATTATTCTAATAAGAAGTAACACAACTGTATTATCTACTAGAAACATTACAGTATTTACAGCACCGTTACACTTAGCTCTGGTCGCAGTAGCGTAGCGAGGGGGGGGGGAAATATGTCCCCGGGCGCCGACCTTAGGGGGGGCGCCAAATTGAAAGTTTGAGGGGGGGGTGCAAATGAAAAGTTCGAGGGGGGGGTGCAAATCGAAAGTTTGAGGGGGGGTGCAAATGAAAAGTTCGAGGGGGGGGGGGGGTGCAAATCGAAAGTTTGAGGGGGGGGGTGCAAATGAAAAGTTCGAGGGGGGGGGGGGGTGCAAATCGAAAATTTGCTCTCGAGGGGGCGCCAAATTGGAAGTATGTCCCCGGGCGCGGGGAAGGGTCGCTACGCCTCTGTCTGGTCGTCATCACTGATAGTGGCAGCAACAAACAACATAACAACATCCACACAGCTACGGCATGGGCGGTAGAGAGATAGGGTTGGGGGTGGGGGGATGGGGGGTGGGGGGTGAGTTTCGTAATTTTATAAAGAGGTTATCTGCCGTGTGTAGAAGATTATCAGTCCGACGTCGCAGTTTAACTTTTTTTTAAGTAATAAGAAAACAACAACCACAACAAATGTAAATGTGTAAGCTAAAGTTAAATACGTAGAAAGAGGGGTGCCAGAAAAATATTAGGGGTAGAATTTACATAATCACACTATTGAGTGGGCGGGTTGCTTGGGGTGGGGGGCTTGCGTTTTGGTCGGTAATTCCACGGGCCCAGTGTAAATGACACGACAAAGACTTGTTATTTCGATATAAGTGTAAGACAACATTTGACAGCTCTACTATTTCGGAGGGTTTTGTCCGGTCAACGGCAAACGACGTTCAGAGTTTTTTTTAGGCATCTCTCCGTGTGTGTGTGTGGGGGGGGGGGGGGATGACAGACACCCCACCTACGGATGAAATAAGAAAAATAATTATATGGAAAATAAGTATTTTAATCTATTTCCGACCCCCACGGAAATTTTAAGTGCGCCCCCCCCCCCTTGTCCGCGGAAGTTTGAAGTGCCCCTCTCCCATTAAGAAAAATGAAAATATCTGAAAGAAACCCTGACCCGCTTCCTATTAACAACCATTTACCAAAGTAATAAATGAGAGCAAACAAACGCACGTATCCATAATCCTGTACCCTCACGAAGATGCAACATACTAGGCTAATTACCGAGACCAAACGTTAAACACCAGGTTAAAAAATAAATCGAATTAACTGAATGCTCAAGAAAATAAAAACTGGAATATATTGCATTGTTTCGTTTCTTGGCAAGTTTTTTTTTCACCACGTTTTAGCGGAACTAGTTAAAAAAACCCTCGGAATCAACATCCACTTTTTCAAACCCCATGGCCTTTACTGATATATTATCTAGTTGTATTTAGTCCGACTCTGACGTCATATCCGTTGCCTTTTTGTGCACGTGGTCGCCGTATTTATAGAAGTCTATCTTGATGATGATGGCGAGGGCTGGCTCTCAGATGTTAGGTTAAACTCAAGTGAAGATTTGATACCGCAGGGGAGATCAACAGGTAGGTCACAGGCCTCGTAGATCAGGGGAAAAAACTCCTGCCTCATTTACGCGGCTCGTTTGAATTCGGAAAATATTTTTTTATAAAAAAAAAATGCGTATCTTCATTTTAAGAGGCATTTTAAAATCTCTAATAGAGAGAAGCGGCAGAGATGCAACTTAAATAAATAAAAAAAGCTTTAGAAAAACAAATTTTAAAAATGTTTCTGGCAAACTTTCTTTGTGGGTCGTCCATAAATGAAGTCGGAGTTGACTTTGTAGATGGGGAGGGGGGGGGGGGGGGGCGTTTATATTTTACAAATCTGGTCTTTGTTTCTAAATTCTTTAACACTTTTCTTTTTGTAAGAACTTTGGTGAAAAAAAAAGGGGGGGGGGGGCATGTGACGTTATAGGTGTTCTGGTTCTTTTTGACGATAAAGAATGATGGGTTGTAAATGGAAGCAGGGGGGGGGGGGTGCAGGTAAATCGGTTAAAACTTCATGACGTAATGGACTGTCCTTTAACGGGAACACTTGGTTGGCGCTCAGCACACATTAAAAGTAATCAGGACACCCTCATTTTATTTGGCTAGAGTGGTTTGGTGCAGATTACAATAATTTGCACTGAATCCTTATAGGGGAGAGGGACGGCGTGGTCGAATGGTAGAGTATACGACTACTGACCCGTAAGTCTCGAGTTCGAGTCCGGGTTCAGTCAAAGGAACGTCCATGAGTCAAACCATCTCTGATGGGTACCTAACTCACGTTAGGGAAAGTATAGTCGGCTGGGCATAGTGCTGACCACACTACATCTTTATATGCCGAGTTCACAGAAACAGGTGAACTCTACTTCACTTATACCACGGACCGACAAGTTCGAATGAGTACTTTACTATATGAGTACTATTACCTTATAAGGGAAAAGTACCATGGACTTTACTGTGTAGTTCGGCTCAGAGCGGTGGAAGTTTTTTGTCAGCTCACCAACGTCACTGACTCATTGCTTTACTCATAGCACGCAGACTTGGTTATAGGCACTTTTTCGTTGGCAGTTCCGTCATAGGTTAACTACTAAAACGACTGAAAACAATGTGCTTCAATACCCCCAACTGAATACTAACACGAGCACTCCTTCTTTCTTCTTAATTAAAAATTTGGGAGGGATTACATCTACACGATTAAACATTACGTGTCTGCTTTTCTCTCA